ATTATATAAGGTATTTCTCCTGCCTTCTTAGCATGCCTCCGTAGTGTAGTGGTCTGCAAGCTCGGCGCGTATTCGAGAGGTCCGTGGTTCGATTCCCAGCGAGGACATTTCTTATTTTTCATCTTTCCTGCTTCCAATTAACCTAATGTCTACAGCCTAACTTTAGAAAGATGTTATTATAGTTATCTTAGTTATAGAATTATGTCACTTAGTATGCAGATGAAGAAAAGATAATGAATGCCATAGTTTTCTCTTCATGATTTAAATGCAGAGGGAAAAGTCCTGCAACTCTTAAGAAAACGCAGCGTATTTTGTCTTATTTTTTAATTGATAAATAAATATTATTAACTTTTTAAATGTTATAAATTCTTACAGTAATGACATCTTCTAAATTAAAGCTAATTTTTCATGCAGTTAAGTTTTTTAAGGCTGTTTTTTTTTCAAATTTAAAACATTTATTTCTTTGCTGCGAATTGCGTCTTTGCAGTCGGTGTCAACGTGTCTACGTCATCACTCCTCACTTCCTGTTTTCAGTGGAGGAAAGTTCTAGAAACACTCCCTTTTTTCCAAGTCCTGATAGATCCAGTTCTTAAGAAATCATTTTCTCACTTTTGAATTGAATTCATATAAATAAAAATGCATTTTATTCATGATAGGTATAATTAAAAACATTGAACATTTTCATAGAAATACATTACATATTTTTTTCACCTTTTTACATATGCAGAAGATATTTAACTTCCCCGTGTTAGTCTAAATGTATATTCATCTAATATTCTATAAGGTATCCTATATATATTCCACTATTCCACTTGGACCATTAGTATTGTTAATTTTTACTGATAAACCATATTAAACTTTAAAACAGTCCTTTTGGGAGATCGTTAAATCAGGTAAGATCCGTTTCAGATTTTATTTTTTCCGTGTTTTTTATTACTATTATTATTTATTTATTATACTTAATTTTCGAATATGGGATTTACATGAAATGAAAGAAACTGCGGTTAAAGTTTATGAAGGAATGTTGAGTTTTGGCGCAAATTAGATAAAAGAAACAATTGTTTTGAATCTATTTTTAAAGTGATCACCACGAAATTCAAACCAAAATTTAAAAAACTAATACAGGACGATAATATTTGGTGATAACAATTTGAAAAGTGATTCGCCGTTCAACGCAAAATGCCTAAACGAAATTAATAGTCCTTCAGGGCAAATTGCCTTTTAGACTAAAAAAAAAAAAAAAAAAAAAAAAAAAATGAAAGATTTCAGATTTTAAATTACGCCCAAAGGGGCATTTTTTTAACATTTTCTCTGTTACCTTTATTTATTAAATCTCACGTTCTTTGGAATTAAACCATAAAATTCAGGTCAACAGCAATACCGCAAAATAGTTTTAAAATGAATTAGAATTTAGAATTTCCGATACGCAGTCTCCCGAGTTGGAGATAAAAATGTTTTTTTCTCTACAACGTTGCCATCCCTGGCTTTGAAATCGTTGAATTTGTTAATCAAAAGTTCGTTAAAGTTTCACAAAATATGAAATCGATAATAAAACAAATTCAAATTTCAAATTTGGGCTTCCACATGCCAATATTCTCAGTAGGATTACGTCATTCAAAATTCGATGGCTCTATGTACCGTCGTTTTATCACAATGCGAGAAATATACATACATTAATGCAGAGTTTTCATTATTTAATTTCTTCAAATATAATGCAGACTCTAACGTTTTGTGGCAACAGTTTGAAAAGTCAAACGGACATTTATAGTGAACCAAAGCAAAATCGCAAAACGAAAACACTAGTCCTTAATGGACAAAGCTCCTTTGGACTAAAAAACAGCTCCCTTTTAACTAAAATGACTGATTTTGGATTTAAATACATAAATATAAAAATAATTATTTGCAATCATATACCATCTTTTCTTTTTAATACTCTAAAATAATCTGCACGATGTGATTATTTCATTTTCCTGAAACTTAATTTATAAATTTTAATAAGAATAGTAACAATGTAGACAATTGTTACCAAGGAAAATGTCGTAACTAATACAATGCGACGAATTATGACATCACTTATTTGGAAATTTATCACTTATACGTACCAGATGGAAAGTTGTAGTTCAGAGTGAGTAACATAATTTCCTCTTTATATTATTCTATTCCGCCGAATCTTTAAAAAATACAGAATTACTTATTTTTCCTTAGACCCCAAGATTCATTTGGCTGTAAACCCCATGACCAAAGATATTTAATTCATTTTAAAATGGACTCAAAGACGTTGTGGTTAAACTTTCGCCGAAAAAATTAAGGGCATAAAGAAGAGGCTGCCGTTTTTAGTGAGTGGCATTATTATCACTTGAAATATATAACTGCAAAATGTCGTTTTCTCTCTCGCTAAGTTTGTTTAGCCGAGCGCTTAAAACGTTGATTTACTTGGAAACTGTTGCCACTCGAGCTGAAATAAATGTTGCCGTTGGGGAAAATTATTTTGCTGACTTTGGTAAAAGCTTAGTAATGGTATTAATCGATACATTTTCTGTGATTTGTGAAATGTGCGGAAGATTTGCAACGCAAGACAAATAGTTGTGTATTCTCAACCGATAAATTTTCGTTGAGCAAACATCAAAGAATATTCTTTTTCTTATGTTTCTGGGGATTATGATGCATCTGTTATTTACAAAAGTAAGGCATTAGATTTATTATAAAATTTTACGAGATATCTAACCACGTATAAGTACTGTTTCCATGATTTTAAAGCGGGGGTTCTCAGCCAAACGACGCCAGGGAGGGTTTCAAACCTGGCGGGAACTTCATAGTTTCATAGGAGGAATATAGTCAACCTTTTAATAAGTTCAACATTTAGTTTGAATTTATGAATATAAAATGTACTTTTCTTCAAGTTTGATATTTATCAACATTTTCTGTACTTTTTATTTAATTAATGAAACAGTTAAAAATAATCTAGGTGAAGTATGCATATTTTTTTATGTATGCGAGTTTTGGAAAGGAAGAGGGGAATGAATTTCTATCAGTGGTAAAAAGTGGTGCATGGGGGCAAAAAGGTTGAGAACCTTGTTTCTAAGCTTTCATTACACTTAAAATACCTTTACTATTCTGGAACTTTACCTTCTTCAACCCATTTTACCACCCCCTCTTCCAAGGACCTTCATTGACGTCACATATTTGTCTCCTACAACGTCAGTCCAAGATGCTTGAAAAATCCGCCCATCACGGCATCAAACAGGCGTAAATTCCTACCATTGTGGAATTCAGTGTCTGATTAAACATTTTTTAACTAGTGTGGCCTACAAAACGAACGTCTCTTATGAAAAATATAAAATCAGCTGTAGGTCAGCTATATCGGGGGAAAATAACCTAATGGCGGTTTGCAAAACAATATCTCTGTACTACAAATTCATTTGATGCTTTGCAGTCTGGTAACGGCCGATGAAAGAAACAGAAGGGAGAGAAAAGAATTAATGTAAAAATTATGTGTACATTAAAAGAAACGTTACAATGCATTGTGTTTAATGGCTCTGTATAAAAATGAAATATACAACTCTAATTCAGCTTTCGCTCTCTCTAATTTAATTTGTTCTAATTGTAATTTTAATTTTTTTATTTTTCTCGAATGTCTCTACTTTCCGGTCTTCAATTATCCCTTCTATAAGATTAGCTACGAATTCGTTTTTTTTCCCTCAGTATTTTTTATAATATTAATCAGATCTGTAATCGTCATTCTAGCTGTTACCACTTCTCCTAACTCTATAGCCGCAAGCTGCAGATAAACTTTTCTCGAGTTTTTAAACACTTTGAAAACAAAACTCAATTCAACTAACTCTTAATTCAATAAAAAATAATTAAATAAAAAAATAAGAAAGATTTCAGATTTTAAATTACATCCAAAGGGCGTTTTTTTAACATTTTGTCTGTTACCTTTATATATTAAATATCATGTTCTTCGCACTTAAACCATAAAATTCAGTTCAAGAGCAATATCACAGAATAGTCTTAAGTTGAGCATATTTTTTTTAGAATTTCCGATACAGAGTCTCGCGCGCTGAAGATGATTTTTTCTGTACAACGTTGCCCATTGCTCGCTTTGAAATCCTTGAGTTTGTTAATCAAAAATTCGTTAACGTTTTACAAAATAGACACTTGTTTACAATAGACACTTGTTACAAGAATTTTAGTGGACTGTATTTTAAAAAACAATTTTATTTCCTTTCATTTAGAAAACACTTACGGAACTTTTTTATTCTATTTTCTCAAACTGCTAGATTTCAAAATCTAAGAATAAAAAGTCGTCGTCTGCGATTTCCATGGCAACATAAATCGTTTCCTTTTTCTTCATCGCGCTGCCACAATACAACTTATAATTAGGTACGGTACATTTCTTATAACGTACTTATAATTAGGTAAATATTTCTAATCTTGTATCTTATCGAAAATGATTTTACATGTGACCGCATGAACATAAAAGTTACGAATACATGATGCTGACTATTACGGAAATCAAATTTCAAGAAAATTCCGTAATACATAAAACTAATAATAAATATTTCAATAGTAATACTAAATACTGCTTGTAATTAAAACTAGTGATGATATTTTAATACTAAAACATAATTAATAATAACTTTCAAATCTGAAAGAGGAATATGCACAACAAAATTTTAAGAATGAAAAGAATTTGGAAGATTAAAATTGTTTTTTCGATAAAATGCACCTATATATGAATTCATCCAAATATCTTATAAAATTTAATTTTCTGCTAAAATAGGAAAATGCCTTTAGGATAGACACAAAGAAACAGAAATTCTAAGCTCTGTATTTTTTCGGTCACAGATGCAGTTTCAGAATACGTTACCAGGTTTGAAATCAACACTGAAGAACTTTTTTTTCCAGTTTCCAACAACATAAAATTAAAGAAACTTCTTTTATTTGCTGTTCGTATTTTGTATTGATTCATTAAAATATAATAATATTTTTAGGAAATTTATGGAACTGGTGAACTTTGCTCCAGGCTTCAAAGAACTTCTTAACAGTTCTCAAGAAAAGTCTTTGTTTGCGCCAACTAACGAAGCTATTCGTCAGCTTCCACCTGAAGCTATAGGCACCATCAAGACAAACATCACTGCCATTACAAACGTAAGCTATCTTCAAATATTTTTGAATTTTTAAACGCCAACTTAAATTTTGTTGCAAAATTTCAATGACAGTTAGCTGCAGAACTGTTTTTACATTATACTATTACATTTCTTTACTTAAAATCTTCTTAGTCTAAGGTCATCTAAGATCTTTTTAATGGCAGACAATTTGAATTAAAAAGAATGGATTCCGAATTATAAAAGCATTCAATTATGTGTTCATCAAATGTGTAAAATTTTAATATACATCCGAAAGGTACTATATATATTTCTGTATACGTAATGAAGTATAATTAATATATATATAATAAATTATGCATACAAAAATGTGCGATTCATTCATTTTATTTAATTTAGTAATTCTCGGTATCATGAATCCTTATTTGGTACTTGTTTCAATAAAAAGGTACTTGTTCAATAAAAGAGCATTAGAAACGCTCTTTTATTGAAACAAGTACCAAATAAGGATTCATAATCTTCAATAAAAGAGTCATTACTGAACTATATAAATACTGTAATTGGTTAGCTTAATGGTTTTTATTCATTGTTCGTAACGGTAATTTGGCCCACCAGCGGCCGAGCGGTAAAGACGCTGAACACTGGTAGTTCGGTCCGAGGTTCGAATCCCGCGAACGGGCAGGCTGCATGGGTGTTTTCGTGGTTTTCCCCATGTGTAACGTGTATACGAGCCTGTTTACCTTAGAAAGTCCTCCACGAAGGCATCCCTCCCCTTAGGCAGATAGCCCTCGAGGCTTTGCCGTAATTAAATAACCTAACCTAACGTAACGGTAATTTATGTTATTGTTTTAACTTAAAATATGCGTTAATGAGTGTTATACATTTGGACATATGTAGAACTTCTCTCTTTTCAAAAGAAGTATAAATTTTTCTAATTATTAGTTTCGGAACGTATTATAAAATATAATTGTGAAAAGAAATCGTGTTCTTTACAAGGTAAAGACTTAATTCATAATCGTGAACATGCATAATATAATAACGATTAACCTTTAAGAGTTGGAGACAATATACAATGCAGACCAAGACTAATAATCCAACGCCTATCTGGACTAATAAAATGGCTGAAGAAATTCTGCTGGAACTGAGAGAACATGTTCGCAAACGAGTTACACTCAAAAACAAAGTACCATGCCGGAACCATATCCAAACTTTTAAACTGATCTTCGCAAACTGTTTAAAGTGTGTCTAATTTGACTGAGCAAGAAAAGAGGATCGTCATCGCTATGAGGTTGTTATTGATCGTGATAGGAAAAGGCAAAACATCAACACATGTTTCGCTTACAGATGATGATAGATTTTTTTTTTCAATCAGATGATTTAAGTAGCAGTGTATCTATCTCTTGTTGTTAAAGACATCGTTTACTATAAATGTAATTGACCACTCCAAAGGAGGTAAAGTTATAATACATATAAATTCAGTTATTGTTAAGTGTACAGAGTTTGAGGTGTTAGAAAGACGAATCATGACTGCTCATAAATCTATTTCATTATTGAAAATGATATTATGTAGTTGGCAATCATTATACCTATTCTCATGATCACGTGTTAATGATCCACTGTAAAGTAAAAGTAGCTTCCTACTTCTCGATGTAACATGCATAATATAGTCTTTATATGCACATATTTGAGGAATTATTCCTCAACAATTTTTAAAACGGGCTGGACTAGAGCATTAAATCTTCAGATATCTTCCTCCTGAGCTTCTTGCCAATCTGCTTAAAGGCCTGCCATTCATGCAGTTCATGACAATGAGGCAACATATACCACGATAAAATTTTCTGCGAATTTCTGTTGCATACCTTTGCCCATTTTGCTTTTTAAGCCCACATGAGTCAACAGGGTATGTTTAATTCTGCATAATTTTTTATTGTAAACAAAACGATATGCTTCTTTAGGCGTACCTGTTTCTGTGAAGTTTAGCTTTGCTTTATATTAAGTATTTAAATACAATCTATCTCATAAAATGTCTCCTATGAAAGTATAGTTCTGAGCAGTCAAGAAACCCGACTACAACTTGTAAAATAACACTACAGAATTCCAGAAGAAATTGTCAAAGGCGTAGATAGTATAATGATAGCTTAATATTTTAGACTGACAATATCTATGTTCAACTAATGGTCAGGATTTTGTCCTTGCAATACTGCCTATTTAATGCTTTTTTCAGAGTTATTAAAGAAGAAAAGATTTTTAACAATTACTGTCTTTGAGTGACTACTATATCACTGCTTTCAAAACAGGATAAGTGACTTTTCTTCGTCAAAGGTTTTTCATTTTAAACAAAGACATTTATCTCAACGTGCAACTCTTATCTTTTAGCTTACTCTTCCAACGTCCTTCTATCCTTCATACTCTTCCAACGTCCAACTTCAGCAAGAAAATTAATCTAAGCTACTTTAAGTAGTATTTTTGCCATTTATAAAACTTGCTTGTTTAATAACAGTGTACAAAATAATTCAATAATATATGCTTTTTAGTATTTTTTATTATAATATTTGTATTTTATGTTTTTTCTTTGCTTTCTCCAGACCAAGATGTTATGTTTTTATTTCTGAATTGTAACTCCTTTTATTATGAGCTATTTACTACATCTGTAAGTCTTGTGGAACTACATCTGTAAGCCTACTTCATGGAATACGAGGAGTTTTGTATTTGCTTTCTTAAATTAAAAAGGAAAGAAAAATCCCAGAAAATCAAGTAAAGTAATATGTGTCTTTATCATTTGTTCAACTCCTGCAGGCCATTATAAGCATAGTTTCAAAACCATAAACAAGCTTAACAAAGATTTGAGTAAAAAAATAACATACAAAATAAAGATTATCGCACAAGTTGAAGCAGCAAGAAAATTCATCATCATATATCAATGTAATATATCATCATATATCAATGTAATATTCGTGAATTTGCATCACTACTTTCGAAAGTTCTATATTTAAACCTTCGAAACTTGCCTTGCAAATTTATGAATGCTACAATAACTAATCTCATAAGACTTTAAAATGCTTAAAAATTAAAAAATATATATTTCGATTAACCGAGTCGTCCAAAAACCAAAACATAGAAATGCAAACAAGCTTAATGGAAGTTTTTCATGATAGACTTCCAGGGGTCTTATACACCTTAAAGCAATTACTTCAAACGTTTTACAGCTGATTACATAATATACAATGGTGGCCAAAATTGTGGACACTTTTGGAAATCTTTGTTTTTGAACTTTGTATGCTTATAGGACATGTTACGTTTCGCAAAATGCAAATTTGTATATATCATTTTAAAGAGAATTTATTACTGAATTCAATACAAAACACAAAATTCAATTATTTGCAACACAAAAACGTTATATGTGCTTTAATATAAGTAAAAAACACAGTTATGAAGTGGTTTGTAATGTCTAGCTTTCCTGGCCAATCATTGTTCTTGTTCTGAGAACCAATCAAATGTTAGTAACTGCCAGTAGAAGCTGACATCATGTTTACACTTGAAACAATTCATTATTTTGCTTTGTTCTGTAGAAGAAGGACCTGTTTCTGATACACTGCAATTATAAGTAGGAATTTTTGTAAAAATTTTTAATATTTAATCAAGAAGCAATGACATCAAATAAAAGAGTAGATGGGACACCTAGAAAGAGATGTAATATTATTGTGTTACGAGAAAGTGGTCTTTCCTATACTGAAATTGCAAGACAGGTGGGTGGTTCAGTGACTACATCTGGAGTCCGAAAGTTTTGTTTACGATATCAGGAGAAATATTCAATAAAAAACAACGAAGGAAAAGTCCGAAAAAGGTGCACTACATTTATTGATGACAGAAGAATAAAAAGACTATGTCTCCAATATAGAAAAATGTCATCAGCGGCCATCAGAAGTGATCTGAATGATGCTGTTGTTTCTGTCAGTTCAAGAACAATCAGGAGAAGATTAACAGATGTTGGACTGGGTAGAAATCCACGAAAAAAGCCTTATCTTAATTTTCAGCAACGAAGAAAAAGACTGTAGTGGGCAAAGGAACACATTAATTGGACAGATGATCAGTGTTCACAAGTTATATGGAGTGATGAAACTAAGATATCGTTATTCATCAGTGATGGGCGAAAATATGTAGGACGTAGAATAGGAGAGAAGACATCCTGACTGCACTAGCAACTGTGAGAACCCAGTTATGTGTTAGATTTGGTCATGCATGTCAGCAGATGGTATTGGTCGCCTTCATGTTCATCGATGGGTCACTGAATGTCAGCAGATGGTATTGGTCGCCTTTCTAGAAGCACAAAACTAATATCTACACTTCCATCAGAGACTTATCTCTTTCCCAACAATGCTTCGTTTATTTTCATTTCAGCAGGATTCTGCTCCTTGCCACACGGCCCAAAATATCGAAAGTGTGGTTTCGTACAAAGAGCATTAAATTGTTGTTATGGCCAGGAAACAGTCCTGACCTCAATCCTATCGAAAATTTGTGACAACACCGTTTGAAAACTCTTGTCCGAATGAGGCGCCCATCAAATAAACGGGAACTAATTGAGGCTATAATAATGTTTTCCTGCATCATGTAATAACGAAAGAAGAAAGCTTAAAACTCTTGTCAGCTCAATGAAATGTCGATGTGAAGCTGTAATCAAAAAAAATAAAGGGTACCCTACTAAGTATTGATAACTCACTGCAATCATCACTATCTAATGTATATCGATAACTATTATCGTTTAACTCTTTATGTATTGTAAATAATTGAATTTTGTGTTTTGTATTGAATTCAGTAATAAATTCTCTTTAAAATGATATATACAAGTTTTGCATTTTGTGAAACGTAACGTTTTCTACAAGCATACGAAGTTCAAAAACATAAAAATTTCCAAAAGTGTCCACAATTTTGGCCACCACTGTAGCTGCTTTTTGAACTAGTAACCAGAAATTTTGTGTTGACCCAAATATTTTTATAATTTAATCTGCTTTGTGACAAAATTTGTAATGCGCTAACGTCATGTTTCCATCTTGCGCGCATGATATTTTGAAAATGCCTAATGGTATGTACTTGAAATTTGATGGAATTCTTTATATGGACACTAATTTCTAACTGAATTAAAAATCTAATGGATATTTTAATATTAAAAAAATTATGCACGAAAACATTACAGATTTTTTTTACTAAAATATATCTTAAAATTCTTAGAATTTTTGATTCACAGTAGTTTCCAAATGTTATAAAAGCTATATATTAAATATGGAATTAAATTATGCAACAGAATGTTTTAAACTGTGCGCGCAAGTTTGAAACATGACATGGACGCATAAAAATTTTTGTCACAAAGCTGATTAAATTATAAAAATATTTGTGGCAACACAAACTTTCTAATTACTAGTTCAGAAATCAGCTATATTATATAGTTTGATGTAAAAAGTTGGAAGTAATTGCTTTTAAAATAAATAAATTATTCGAATTCTAGCAACACTAACATATTCGAAGATCTTGGGGGGGGTTAAGGTGTATGAATCCCCATTATCTAAACCATCATGGCGGTACTGTCTAGATACGGTCTTTAGACAGCTAAATTAGGTATTCTTGTCAAAATTCTAACATTAGTTTTAATTTAGATTAGACTTTCTAAGAATTATCTATCTGTTTTATTAACAAAATTGACCTACTCCAGCTTCTAAGTCTCAAAAAACGCCCGTTTGAGCGAGTTTAGTATTTGACAACGTTTTTCGTTTTCTGCCTTTTTTCTTTTTGAGGTTATTTATAATTTGCAATGTATTTCCTAAATTCATTTTCTCAAAATTTGCTCACAGTTTACTGGATATTGTCTAATTTCTTCAAATTTATTTAGCTTGTTCGAATTTATTTACTTACTCCTCACAATTTTTTCACCTTCTTCGAAAATCAAATCAGTACAGAACGTAGGCATTTGAAAGAACCAAACTTAGAATTTGTTTTATTACCTAGTTCGTATTTTGTAAAACTTTAACGAATCTTTGATTAACAAACTCAACGATTTCAAAGCGAGTAGCGTTAAACGGGGAAAAAAAATTCTGAAGCACCCGAGACTGTGCATCGGGAATTCTAAAGATATGCTTCATTTAATTATTTTGGTGATATTGCTGTTGAACTGAATTTTGTGATTTAAATGTGAAGAACGTGATACTTAGCACAAAACATTAAAAAAACTCCTTTGGACGCAATATAAAATATAAAAGCTTTCAGAATTTTAAATTTTTTTTTAATTTTTAAATTTTTAGATCAAATTTAATTTGGTATTCATATGCGGGATTGTTCCTGTTTTACACATTTTTTAACGTTTCCGGTTCTGTATAATTTTGATACTACAATTTTATTTTTTCAGTTTATTCCGGCCTGCATAGTTTTAAAATTTTCATGTATTTTTTCATGCATTGAATTGCTTGTATTTACATGTTTTGTTTTCTCGACTATGGGCACTCAAAATAAATATTTTTTACTTTTTACCTTTTTTAAGATTGTTTGTCGTTTTAATACTGTAGTTTTGTAATTTTTGCACTACTTACAATGACCTGTAGGGGTTGAATTCATGATACAGATTACTCAGATTACTTTAAGTATTAGATTTTTAATTTCACATGATGATACAGATTACTCATATTATTTTAAGTATTAAACTTTTAATTTGTGCCTTTGCTGGTTCAGAAACAGGCTGATTTATTTACCTCTTTCGTTGCACCAACACTCTGATAACGATATAGCAAAAGATGTTAATTTCTTCTTTCATTTTTGGTTTTGGTATTTTTGCCCCTTTCATGCAGTTTGCCACTGTGGTTCTGGTATTTATTTTTTGCACATGATTGATTTCAAATTGAATGTAGGATAGATTTTAAACGTAGTCTATATTAATTCAAAAGGGCTTTGTTCCAGAAGGACCATTGTTTTCGTTTTGGCATTTTGAGTCGCATCACTTTAAACGGCGTATCAGTTTTCAAATTGTTGCCACAAAATACATTATAAAATTGGTGCCAAAATTAAATAATTGCCTTGTATTATATTTAAATAAGTTAAATAATGAAGAATCTGCATAAATGTACGTATGCTTCTCGCATTGTGATAAAACAACGGTACCCAGAGTCAACCAGTTTTGAATGATGTAATCCTGCTCCGAATATGAGCATCTGAAAGCCCAAATTTGGAATTTGTTTTATTATCGATTTCATATTTCGTAAACCTTTAACGAATTTTTGAATAAAAACTCAACGATTTAAAAGCGAGCCATGGCAGCAATCTACGAGGAGAAAAAACCTTTTTATCTCTATCGCGCGGAACTGTGTATCGGAAATTCTAAAGATATGCTCATTTTAAAATTATTTTGCGACTTTACTGTTGAACTGGATTTTGTGGCAACGTGCAAATAACATGATATTTAATAAATAAAATTAACACACAAAACATTAAAATATAACTCCCCTTTGGACGTTATTTAAAATCTGAAACCTTTCATATTTTTTAAATTTATTTTTGCATTATTATCACCACTTGTTTCTGCTGTCAGTCCGCAAGTAGATGAGGTTTTGAGCTCTTTTTTTATATTGAACGTAAAAGATTTGTGAACATTAATAATCCTATGTATATATGTTAATTAAAACTGATAAAGCTCATTTTTAGAAAAATTCATTTTAATGTGCTAATATATTTAAAGCCTTTTTAATGTATTTTAGTTACTGAAGCTTCATCTGGTGATGAAAAGTATCTCCACGGATGACGTGCTGTATGGACGGTACAGAGAATACGTATCGGCTGACAATAGAAACAGTCTGTATTTTCGAGTTTTGGGAGACGAGAAGAACAAAAGTGAGTTCATTGCAATTTGTTATCCGTTTACAAATAATATTAAAGAATCTGATGTGTACACTTTATGACTTCCTTGTACGGAAATTCGTGGGAAGTCATTTCGACCATTATCATCTTCTACTGACTTTAATTCAGCGAAAATATTAATTAAAAACTCTGAAAACGGTAATTTTCCCACTCATTTTTAGAGTAGCAACAGTCTCGAGCGCTGGAGATAAAAATCTACTTTAGTTCGAAAAGTGTTGCCACTGCTCGCTTTCAAATCGTAGACTTTGTGAATTAAAAATTTGTAAGTTTTACAAAACATGAAATAAAAATAGCATTGCCAACCTTTAAACATATTATTATTGTTATTATATAAGGTACATATTCTGACGTTGAGAAAAGCCCGCGACTGCATGCGACGTCATTGAACGTCGGAAAATTTTTCATTAATGTCAGCATTTTAAATAAATAGCTGCTGTTGGCAAATTTTGTTTGAGGTTAATATAACGATATATTAATCACAAGTTAATTCTTTTATTGATATAGTGAAAATGTGGTTATATTACATTAAATTTAAGTTAGGACATCATACATATTAACCTGAAGTGTCAAAAATTTCGTTTCCTGGTTTTGCAATAAAAACATTATTTACGAATTGGTTGTTGCTTAATAAGAATGAACTGATTTCATTTCATACTGAATTTTTTTTAAGCATTTGCTTTTCAGGGGTATTCTGCCTCAGCTGCAGCCCGGTAGTTACATATAATGATAGAGACGCTAAACACAATAAAGCAGTGCAGAGATTTTAAATACATACAATAATGCAATTACACATTTTCATTAATACTGCGGTTAAACTGCGCTACCATCCCAATTATAATGATGCGGTACACTAGAAAATACTTATACATTGCCAAAATATATACATGCTGCAATACTTTCTTGTATATATAATTATACCCTAACACATATAATTCTGTTACAGCCGAAAACATCGCGGCAAAAACGTCACGGACGAAAACGTCACGGAGAAAACAACGCAAGGCGAAAACGTCGTGCTGCAAAACATTGTGAGAGAAAACATCGCAGTTCTAAAACATCGTGGTACAAAACATCGTACAAACATACTTTTTTCAGGCTTTAATAACTGTAAATGGAAATTCCCATAATGATTTGCGTGCGCAAGATGGAAAGAAGGATAATTTTTACTTTCACATTTTTTTAACAACTAATAAATTTTCGCTGACAAAGTAAGAAGGAAACTTAAGCATAGAAAATTAAATGCAACTTACAGATTATACTTTTCATGAAAAATTACCAGTAACTAAATGATTTATTAATGGCATTTGTTAGTTAACAAATGTCGGTTTCAAATTCTATTAAGTGTTATAAGTTACATTAATTTTCTATGCTTAAGTTTCCTTCTGTTTTCCTCAGCAAAAATTTATTAGTTAAGAAAAAAATGTGAAAGTAAAAATTATCCTTCTTTACATCTTGCACTTACAAATCATTATGGGAATATCCATTTACAGATATTAAAACCTGAAAAAAGCATGTCTGCGATATTATCGTCATGCGATGATTTGTAGATACTTTTTTTTTACCACGATATTTTCGACGACGATGGTTTTAAACTGCGAAGTTTTTGAACCGCTCTATTTTCAACGACGATGTTTCGTATCACGATGTTTTAAAACTGCGATGTTTTCTCCCAGGATGTTTTGTAGCATCACGTTTTCGCTTTGCGTTGTTTTCTCCGCGACGTTTTCGTCCGCGATGTTTTTGCCGCTATGATATCGGCGGACACATATAATTCTTAATACAGTAATACTTTTACAACACATATTAGTTATAATACTGTAACTCATTCACAGTCATACAATCTCAGGATACAGAATAGTGAAACAAAAATACATCAGAATGTACGATAGTTACATACGGTAATGAGGTTAATTGTTTGCTACAGCGCTAGATATTGACCTGATACTGCGCTATACCTGACTTCATAGACCATAGACTAGCATAGGAGTGTCGCTGCTACAAGACCTTATCTGTGTTTATGAAATACATATGTAGACATACAGGTACTAAATCTGGCTGTCTCATTACGAGGTAAGATACCTTATATAAAAGGTTAATGTGTCGCGAAACTAGGAAAATGTGAAATGAAAGAGATTTTCTTAGCTCGTAGAATTTAGCAGTTTGCTCACTCTTTTGCACGATGTTGCATTAGCCGTTTGAGTTTTTTCTTGGCCATTCTGTTGTTTGTAAAACCTAAAGCCCTTGCATTCCAGTCTGTTGCACTAAGTGAAATCCTTCCGCTGCGAAACACGTAGCAGTCGGGCTGTCCAATAACTCACATTTACAGCTCTCAGTGTCTGTCCGGTAGAAAGCGTTTCAAATAACTTGGAAATGGCCCGTGAAAAAGTGCTGTTTTATCCTCAGGTGCGTACTGAACCTTGGAAAGAAGCTGAAGGTTCTCCTTTTCCTGTTGAAGAATAGTCCCACCTCTTTTGCCAAAATGTCCATCATTCTTATTTTCGATATTCGTTTCAGATACGAAACTGAGACCTATTCTCCACATCTAACAAATAAGGATTCTTGGCATCGGATTTATTATCTGCCTCCTTTATCTTATCTGCCTTTATCTCTTGTGGAAATTGTTTTGATTAATTGGTAGATGGCGCTAGCGCTGCGTGTTAAACGCGACGCGCCTTTTGAATTTCCATAGACGCTCCATCGGTAGCTCGGTAGATAGATGTTTAGATGCTTCGCACACTTTAGAAACACTTCGGTTCCTATGGAAAAGATTTCGATATATAGATCTCGATTAATCTGCTCTACTAAACTACCACAACACTGTAATTCATGATCTATAAATATTGTAAATATTAAAAGTTACATTTTTAAAAGTGACTGATGTCGATTTATAGTAACCTTTGAAATTGTTGAAACATCTCTGTTGGCAGCATATTTATTATCTGCCTCCTCATTTCCAAGAATTCCAACATGCCCAGAAACCCAACAAAAGATGGGTCTGTGTGGGAAAGATTATAAAGTATTTCTCTCGCCTTCTTAGCGTGCCTTCGTGGTGTAGTGGTCTGCACGCTGGGCGCGTATGCCAGAGGTGCCCGTGGTTCGATTTCCTGCGAAGGCGTTGCTAATTTGTCATCTTCCCTGCTTCCAAAATGTACCTAATGTCTCTACAGGATATTCTCAGAAGTATGCTTCTAACGTCATTCACCAATACTGCTCTGCTGATCAACTCCTTGAATACTTGAGGCAGAGTAACTGAATATTTTGGTTCTGGGTGTTAAATTGTTGAGGAAGTAAACTGCTGCTGCTTTGATAGCTGCTACCTCTGTCGTGTTGTTGTCATGGAGTCGTCTAGACCACACATGGCTGACAGTTTGTTATTCGTTACAAAAAATCCGCATTTAGAGCCTTTCTCCGTCTTAATCAGGAGTGTTATACTCTAGGTTGATTGCTTCATTATGATCAGAAGCAGCTGCGTATACAAGAGTAACCGGTCCATAACGTAATAATTCATAACCCACGAAGTGCAGTCTTATAATTCTTGCAATCCGTGTCAGAGCTGCCTTCCTTTCGACCACCAGATCCAGGGCAGAAAGTCCTGACAAAACTTTTAAGGAGTCAGGAAAGGTGGTACAATAGACTTTGAAGACCAACAGGAGTTATGTCCTTTGGATCAAAGGTAGCAGCTTCCTCGTATGGCTGGTTAAGTCTAGATCCTCAGACAGAGGCTCCATATAAGATTACTCTCTGTGTTATGATTCGGTAGCAGGTTTTCATCATCTGCAGAGAAATATCCCTGTAAATGCCTGTGGTTCCTTTTAGCGTATTGATTAAAGAAACCACCCTCTGTTTGATATTCTTCATATATGGTGCCAGTTGGACATATGAAAAACCATGAAAACGGTCAAGAATTTTCCCACTTCTTCTGTAATCGAACCCTGGTAGAACCCCCAGTGTTCAGCAGTTTTACCGCTCGACCACTGGCGGACCTTTTAATGATAAATATTTTGTATAATTATACATATGAATGATACTTACTTGCATTCTTAAAATGTATTCTTGCATTAGTGCAAAACAAACAGTGACTTTTTTTTTTTTTTTCCATAGCTCTGACAGTGGATGGAGTGGGCGTCAAAGCCGCAGCTGTGCAAGCAGATATCGGAGCCATCGATGGTATGGTGCACATAATCGACAGACTTTTAGGAATGCCCTTTCAAACAGTCTTCTTAAAACTGCAGTCGGATCCAGATCTCAGGTAAATGTTTCCTCTTGAAGTGAATGCCAACATGCAATTAAGATTTAGCTATCTTCGTGGCATCAAAAGCTAAAGTTTGCTTGAATATGCGAATTTTGCATGACTAATCATATAATTATTCTTTAAGATTTTCGATTGAAGTAGCTGCCGGTTAATGGGATCGCGGTTAATTTTTATCATTCGGATATTGGTATCGATTTGCTGAAATTCCGCCCGTTTGTATACGGAAAATACATCGCTTACTGTAATCAATATTTCGTTTCATGTTTATAAAATTTTTCAGAATGGATTTTTTAAAATGAAGTAAAATCACCCAATACGTTCGACAGAAATTGCCAGAGCCAGAAGTATATTGCTAAATAAACTATCAAGTCGCCAAGCAGTTTCGTTTTGATTTACATGTGCTAAGAAGCTCGTTTTCTAAGATTTAGGAAGAGCTATTGGATTATTCGGAATAAGGAAAAATCTGAAAACGATCTTTCTTTTAATTTCTTTGTACGAAGTGAAGAAAGTGTTGTAATTATGAAAAACTCCGAGTACCATATTTCAACAAAACTATCCATTTTGACCAACACGCAAAAACATCGTTAAATTGCTATCGAATGCAATTTAACGATGTTTTTGCGTGACTTCTGTACGTAAAGACAGAATAATTTCCTCAAACGAATAACAAAACTGATTTAAAATTGATTCAGAACAGATTTTTTTTCGTAGCGTCTACGTAGGTACGCATATATTTATCTCGCATAACTGAAAAACAAGTTGCCTCAGAAAGTTCAAATTTTACATATAGGACTGCTATAACATGTAATTATGCACCTCCCTTTTTGGTCGCACCAAAAGTATGTAAATGTATATGTAATATTTTAAGTGCGTAGTTTGACAGATGGATGCATACATCAACTTCTAGACGTGGCCGTTTCGAAACATAATTTTATTGCAGGATAATTCACATCAGATGATTTTGGTAGACAATGTTCAGTCATAGTTCGATACGATCATTTTTATAACACAGGTAAAAAGATACGACTTCATTTCAGGCAGGAAAGCATAAGCAGTATATAGATGTTAGCATGGGGAAGCTAAGAAAAGGTATGATATAGTAACTTGAGAGCGGTATTTATACTAAGTGGGTGCATAAGTATAGTGGCATTTTTTTGTTTTAAAAATGATTAAATTATGTTGTTCGTATCTTCTGGTTAGGGTTTTTATTCCTTCAGTTAATCTGCATACCATAGTTGTAGAATTATCAACAATTAAAAAGTTGTTTAAGTGCAGCTAAGCCTAATTCTTTTTACCATAGCAGCCATACTTGTTTACATTTGAAACTTAGCAGAACAGCAAATTAAATCTTTCTGCATCTACAGTGTGTTTTGGCCGAGCGGGACCAAAAGGAAAGTTTTAGTTTTGTGCACCGAAAAATCTGCCTGCTGGCCGAATTGCTTGATTTTTCGTAGAAACTAATTTTAATTGTAAAAAATCTTTTTTTTAATTGTTTGAACAGTACTTAGATGTTTTAACGTTTTTCTATATTTTTCAAGTTCTAATGAAAATATTTTGTGCTTTTATGTATTTCTGCCTCGCCCCGAAGTGAGAACTGAATTAAGTGAATGAGAAATATATTTCTAATAAAATTCGAAAAAATAAGTGTGTTGTATTAGCAAAAAATATTGTCACCAGTATGTCGCGCATAGAGAAACGCATGCGCATTAGGTGAGCGGATCTAAATCGTTTGTGAAAACTGTTTCTGTTTTTATTTGTTTAATTTCTTTTACACATCGTTTTAAATTTATTATATTATTACAATAGAACATGTAGAAACGATTAGATAATTCTTCAGACGATATAATTTTTGTTCATTCTGAGTTATACAATGAATGAGATGTAACGCTGTTAAGTGAATCTAGCGCCAGACTGTCACTATGGTAAATAAATAAAGTTATTTAAAGAGTGCATTTACTCTGTTGTGGTGTATGCGCTATAGGCGAAGTAAATTTAATTCAATTCGATACGTTTAAACGAAATGCAGGAAAAAATGCGCATATTCCGTACTAGGAAGTCTTGTGGTGTACACATCAACTTTTTTTCTGTCTAAGTATATGAAAAAAAAAAGAATTCAAGTTGCAGCATCAATAGCAGAAGAAGATATCTGCCACCTTTTCCTGAAACAAACATTATGGGATAAAGTTTCTGAAGAAGAAAATGATGAATTTAGTGACTGTCCTACAAATGCAAAGATTATTAATACGATTAAAATATTAGAGAATAAAGTTGTAGGATTCCTTGCCCTTTGTCTAAGACAGCGTTTCTTAAACTGTGGTTCGCGACCTGCAGTAAGGGGTCGCCGAAAGGTTTAGCAGTTTTGATATTTCTTTAACTTGTTATAATAATTTTACAATGATCAAATATTTTTGTACAATGTGTCTGAAAATATATAAAGATAAGACAATACAGACAAAGAAAAAAAAAAGAAAACGTTTCGACGCATTTCTTTTTATAGTATAAACGTGCATTTTACTTGCTTTGCACGTGATGCTGTCATTTCGTCTATTACTTATTTAAAATTTTCACATTGTTCTATGTCTTAAAATTTATGCATATGTTTTACATGTGATTGTATTTAGTTAAATGCCACTGCTGTTTAGAAGGATTTTTTTCTCACCGTTTAATGTTATTAAAATAGCCGTGCACAAGTGTAATCGCATGATGCTGCTCTTACTGCATTTCAGTGTATTTTCTTTCTGTGAGAATATCTGAAACATTAGCACTCATTTTACAAAAGTCGGAAGCTGCTGAAAGGAGAGCATCAGCAAGAAGCTGATCTAATACTTGTGGGAAAAATAGCAAAAGTACAAGGATTATATATTTAAAAACGCTTATTATGTGCTTAGAAATACACGGACAAACTCGGGGAGGAAATCATGCAGTTCAGATTTCTTAATAATTCTGATAATGGGTTTTAGTGGCCAAAATGCTCATTCAGATCAGTGAATGATTGCCTTATTATCAGTGAAAAAGTAAAAGTTAAAGGAAAAAGAAAATCTGAAAGGTTTCAGATTTTAAATTACGTTCAAAGCGGCCTTTTTTTAACATTTTGTGTGTTACTTTTATTCATTAAATATCAAATTCTTTGTATTAAACCATAAAATTCAGTTTAACAGCAATATTGCAAAATAATTTTAACTTCAGCATATCTTTAGAATTTCCGAGACGCACTGGAGATAAAAATGTTTTTTCTGTACAACGTTGCCATTGCTCGCTTTGAAATCGTTGAGTTTGTTAATCAAAAATTCGTTATACTTTTACAAACTATAAAATCGATAATAAAACAAATTCCGAATTTCAAATTTGGGCTTTCGGATGCCCATATTCGCAGTAGGATTACGTCATTCAAAATTTGGATGGCTCTAGGTACCGGTGTTTTATCACAATGCGGAAAACATACATTCAGATTCTTCATTATTTAATTCCTTTCAATATAATACAGGACGATAGTATTTGGCGGCAACGATTTGAAAAGTGGTACAACCTTTTAAAGTTTTCAACGCAAAATTGCAAAACGAAAACAATAGTCCTTCAAGTCCGTTTTGCTTGCGCATTTCTGATAACCTTTATTAATTTTCACTTGAAAATGTTTCTGGCCTAAATTCTGGCTACATGCGCTTCCAGAGTGACGGAAAACGCAGTTTGAAAACCTACAGGCAATTTTCCGACCATCTGATTTTTATCAAACAAATTTTCGGTTTTTCGGTTATGTTAATTGATAACGTCACAGCAACTCGAGGCTTTCTGGTTGTAAAGAGAAATGCCTTCAATGAGATGTTTTTAAAGAAAACTGCATCAAACTTGTTCCCACTAGAAAAACCACGAAAACCAACCATGCAGCCAGAGCGTTCCCCAGGATTTGATCCCAGGTCGAACTATCTGTGTTTAGCGAAATAACCGACTTATTATAGCTACTGAAACTGCTAGCGACATGTATTGATCGAAACGTGAACAAACAGCAATTAAGAAAACAAATGTTTGCAAATCTGACGGTAAAGAGGGATTAGAACCGGAAACTTTAACCAGAACAGAAAGATTTTTGTTAATGTAAAACACCTCCTGGAAATCTGATTAGCCAACGGTAGGTACGTTTTGAATAGCTTTTGCTGCAAATAACAGGAATAGTTGATAATTTGATTATCAAGAATGCGCTAGCAGGCTTCTTTTGAAACAAAATTCTCATGCTTTCTAATGGGAAACTTCTAGATTATCATTGTTTTATCAGGACTACTATTTCGTCTAATTACTTTGGCGAACATGTTGGTGTCCTGATGTAGAACTGTGAGTTTACTTTAAACTATGTTCGTTGAAATTGTAGAAGATACGACACAGATGGGAAGGGTTTAATTACCCTTTATTCTTCACAGTTTACGGCTGTTCTCGCACTTCGGGATACAAAGACCAGTACTTGTGGTCTGAACGTTAAAACATAAGAACTACAAACTAACTAAATTAAGTAAGAACTAAACTCAGATGCTTTACAAAGACTATTAACGCGAAGATTGGCCTCTTAGTATTTACATATGTAGTACGCCGAATGCGGGAAAACTACAGTACGCCTTCAGTATCAAAGGAGGACAGCAACTGACTGAAAAACGCTAGTGAAGTAAGATGGCAAGAAGTCTCTCTCTCTCTCTCTCTAACTGGTTCGTGGCTAAAAGGCCATAACTTAAATACTGTTACGAATTTGGTATTTAAAAAGCTAATGTTTGTTCAATTATAAATTAAATGGTTTTATTTCTCGCGCAGTGCAGCGCGTGACGAATATTAAAACCATTTAATTTCTAATTGAACAAACATTAGCTTTTTAAATACCAAATTCGTAACACTTGGTGTCAGAAGTGGGGTTCGTACCCCACTTCTTTTTAATATTCGTCACGCGCTGCACTGCGCGAGAAATAAAACCATTTAATTTATAATTGAACAAACATTAGCTTTTTAAATACCAAATTCGT